CTTTGCTTATTTTAAGAAGTGAAAGTGTAAAATCACAGAAATCTGTAACTTCAGGCTGTTCAGAGTGTACCCCCATCTCTCACCGACCCTGACAAGGAAAAGCAGAAGATAATGGATGGATAGATACAACTTCGTTACTTTGCTGTAGCATGAATGGGCACTGATCTGTATCAGTAGGAATAGCTGTAAAACTTATGAAGATCTCTGTTCACACTTTTAGAATCTGGTCCCTGGGCTGTATGTTTTACAAGCCTGGTCTACACTGTGATGAACTCAAACAGGCATCACTGACGTGAACAGGTGACGTGTTTAATCAGGTGACTTCACCAAACAGAAAGCATAAAAGCCTTCCTGTCACACTGAGGTAAATCCTGTCTGTGTGCTGATCGTGTTAAACGAAGAGAAAGGCTCTGAGCCGGAATATCCCTCAGTCTGAACTCCAGCAGGCGGTCCTGAACCAGGAGGTGCTGCCATGTCAGACTAATTACATTTTTGCTTTAACATACAGTTGAACAGATGTGCCTAATAAACTGTCTGTGTGCATTTGTGTGAGATCCACACATGCTTTCAGACCTGTGCTGATATCTTTGTCAGTCATCTCCATCTAGTGGACAGATGGTAGAACTCGATCATCTGATGTGGTTTCTGACTCAGGTGAGGTTGTGTTTGAGATGCGTCAAACACATCTGGCTCCATGTTCACGGGGAGAAGGTTCTAGATTCAGCATTGTTGGTCTGCATGTCAGCCTCTTAGGTGTACACATGGGCTGTATCCCAATTCAGGGTCTGCAGCCTTAAAGTACGCAGCCTCAACGGTCCTCAAGGGCCGTGTACTCAAAGACCGCTAAGGCCGGAAGTGCGAGGCTTGTGAAATGGGACGGTCTAGCCTCCGTAGCGCTGCCCAGGTTGCCTAGCAACCATGATAGCTGGAAACGTGTGGTTGACAGAAATGAAGGAGAAAATATTTTGTTCGTTTGTTTGTTTCTACATGAGCTTTGTGTGATTTAATAAGTATCTGAGGCTGAGACCACAGGACTGTAAAACATGATTGTTGGGCTTCATATCTGTACTGAACAGTCGTTTAAGATTAGCTAGTAAATAACAATTAGCTAATGTTGTTCATGAGACTAAAGTCAGTGTAAATATGATATGGCCAATATTATAGTTATTATACTAATCATTATTAGTTATTACAGCAGTGAGTTTGAACTCTCAAATCAAATCACTTCTATTGTCACATCACATGTGCAGGTACACTGGTACAGCACATGTGAGTGAACTCTGTGTCAAATACTGAGCTTCAGTAAAGATTCAAGTTGCAGCTATTTATATGTCCCATCACCTTAAATCTTCACTCAAAGACACTCAAGTATCTTTGACAGTGTATATATAGATGTATCATATATAAGAGACAAATGTTGTTCCTTCAGTATGTTGGCATTATTACATTTGGCTCAATGCTTACATATATGTGTAAAAAGCAAATGTACGAGCTGTGATAACTGTTTCTGATAGAATGAAGAGTAGACTGATATATGAAATATTCCTTTATTGGGTGAGAAAATTAGACCATGTCATAACTGCTTTAAGTCATACAGAATAGATATCAGAGCCTTAAACAGGCTGAATTCTGCTAAATGGGTCAAACTGGGCAGAAAGTATACAAACACATAACATCCTTATAAAATATGATGTAACACGATAGATCAACTTACCTCAGAATATATAAAGCATATAAACAACTACAGCAACTACTGTCTATTCTCTCCATCTGTCAGCTGCTGCTGGCTCTTCCTCCTCCTCTTCCTCACACACTGCTGAGTTTGTCCTGGTGGATCATCAGGGTGCAAAGCCTCACAGATGATGTGCAGCAGTGGGTCCCTCACTCTGTCCTCACTCTGGACACTTGCAGTTGTCACACATGGAAATCAAATGTGCGATGAGCTGCAGGATTCAAACACAAGTGTAACTTATAAATACATGTTCATACTTTTATTCCACAATCAGAGAGAAAGAAACAGAGAGAAAGTGCAGGACAGACAGACAGCTGACAGTCTCAGGTGTATACACTGCTACAAAACAGCACAAGAGAAGGAGGATTTAGTGTTTGTGTTATTACAAGTGCTAAACAAGAAGAGTTCCCAGATGGTACAGTGGACACATGTGTGACTCCTGTGATTAAAGCATCTTTCTTTCAGCTTAACGAGTGAACCGTCAGCTCGTTCAAACACACGTTAAAGTCCGTTTGGCTTGACACCACCGAACAGAGGCAGCAATATAACATAGCGAACATTAACAGTGCAGTGAATCCTGCTTGTGCCGTGATATTCAGGACTGCAAACCGAGCAGTTGTTGTGTTTGTGGATGTATGACTGACTTTAATTATCCATAAAATAATCACATCTCTGTAAGAATAAGGTTGACTATTGTGGGGCGCCGTTTGTAAACTGAAACATGCCGAAATTAACGGCAACATTTATCCACATTTAGCTCTAAAACTTACAAAAACATGTTTTTTCGAGTCATTTTTTACAACATTTAGTAAAATAGTTGTAACTTCCATCCATCCATCTTCATCCGCTTTATCCGAGGCCAGGTCACGGGGGCAGCAGCCTAAGCAAAGAGGCCCAGACCTCCCTCTCCCCAGCCACCTCCTCCAGCTTATCCAGGGGAACACCAAGGCGTTCCCAGGCCAGCCGAGAGATATAATCTCTCCAGCATGTCCTGGGTCTGCCCCGGGGCCTCCTCCCAGTGGGACATGCCTGGAACACCTCTCCCAGGAGGCACCCAGGGGGCATCCTTGTCAGATGCCCGAACCACCTCAGCTGGCTCCTTTCGATGTGGAGCAGCAGCGGCTCTACTCTGAGTCCCTCCTGGATGGCCGAACTTCTCACCCTATTTCTAAGGGAGAGGCCAGCCACCCTTCGGAGGAAGCTCATTTCTGCCGCTTGTATCCGCGATCTCGTTCTTTCGGTCACTACCCACAGCTCGTGGCTATAGGTGAGGGTAGGAACGTAGATCGACCGGTAAATTGAGAGCTTCGCTTTTACACTCAGCTCCCTCTTCACCACGACGGACCGGTGCAGCGTCCGCATTACTGCAGCTGTAGCCCCAATCCGTCTGTCGATCTCCGGCTCCCTTCTCCCATCACTCGCAAACAAGACCCCAAGATACTTGAACTCCTCCACTTGGGGCAGGAACTCATCCCCGACCCGGAGTGGGCACTCCACCCTTTTCCGGCTGAGAACCATGGCCTCAGATTTGGAGGTGCTGATCCTCATTCCCGCTGCTTCACACTCGGCTGCGAACCGTTCCAGTGCGAGCTGGAGGCCCTCACCCGATGAAGCCAACAGAACCACATCATCTGCAAAAATCAGAGATGAGATTCTGAGGCCACCAAAGCGAAAGCCCTCCGCCACTTGGCTGCGCCTAGAAATTCTGTCCATAAAAATTATGAACAGAACCGGAGACAAAGGGCAGCCCTGGCGGAGCCCATCACCCACCGGGAACGAGTCCGACTTATTGCCGGCAATGCGAACCAAGCTCTTGCAACGGTTGTATAGGGATCGAATGGCCCGTAGCAATGGGCCAGACACCCCATATTCCCGCAACACCTCCCACAGGACACCCCGAGGGACACGGTCGAATGCCTTCTCCAAGTCCACAAAACACATGTAGACTGGTTGGGCAAACTCCCATGCACCCTCAAGTATCCTGGAGAGGATAAAGAGCTGGTCCAGTGTTCCGCGACCAGGACGAAAACCGCATTGTTCCTCCTGTATCCAAGGTTCGACTAACGGACGAACTCTCCTTTCCAGCACCCTGGCATAGACTTTCCCAGGGAGGCTGAGGAGTGTGATCCCCCTGTAGTTGGAACACACCCTCCGGTCCCCCTTCTTAAAGATGGGGACCACCACCCCGGTCTGCCAGTCCACAGGTACTGCCCCTGATCTCCACGCAACATTGCAGAGGCGTGTCAACCAGGACAGCCCTACAACGTCCAGAGCCTTCAGGAACTCGGGGCGGACCTCATCAACACCAGGGGCTCTGCCACCAAGGAGTTGTTTAACTGCCTCAGTGACCTCGGCCCCGGAAATTGGTGGGTCATTCCCCTCATCCCCAGACTCTGCTTCCTCCTCGGAAGACGTGTCAGTGGGATTAAGGAGGTCCTCGAAGTATTCCTTCCACCGCCTGACAATTTTCTCAGTCGACGTCAGCAGCGCTCCGCCAGCACTATACACAGTGCGGGTAGAGCACCGCTTTCCCCTCCTGAGACGTCTGACGGTTTGCCAGAATCTCTTCGAGGCAGTCCGAAAGTCTTTTTCCATGGCCTCTCCGAACTCCTCCCACACCCGAGTTTTTGCTTCAGCCACTGCCCGAGCCGCATTCCGCTTGGCCTGTCGATACCTGTCGGCTGCCTCCGGAGTCCCACAGGCTAACCAAGCACGATAGGACTCCTTCTTCAGCCTGGTGGCTCCCTTCACCTCTGGTGTCCACCATTTGGTTCGGGGATTACCACCACGGCAGGCACCAACCACCTTGCGGCCGCAGCTCAATGCAGCAGCTTCGGCAATGGAGACGCTGAACATGGTGCATTCGAACTCAATGTCCCCAGTCTCCCTCGGAATGCTGTTGAAGCTCTGCCGGAGGTGTGCGTTGAAGATCTCGCGGACTGGGGCCTCTGCTAGACGTTCCCAGCACACATATAATAAAATAAATTATATTATATTGGAATAAAACAAACATTGCCTTTACTATGAACAAACATTTGGACTGCATATACAACAAATCTTACTGCAATAAAAGCTGTCCAAACATTTTCTTATATGTTCTACTTGAAGCTTTTAGTGCCTGATATGCGGTGTGGCTGTTACGGGGTGTCTTGTTGCTGCTCTTGCTGTATCTAACTTTTCATGTATGCACAAGAAAATTTAAAAAAAGCTTTGATGTTGCAGGTTTTAAAATTCTGGTCTTTCACAAACATGCATATACGCTAGAAAAATGATCAAAACTGTGATATGTTTCTTATTTGTTCATTTAGGAAACCCTGATGCTGCAGAGTTTCGCCAAAAACACAAGACTCGCCTAAAGAGGAAGTTCCAGTGTGTGTTTGAGGGGATCGCTAAAGCAGGAAACCCAACCCTTCTGAATCAGATCTACACAGAGCTCTACATCACAGAGGGAGGGACTTCAGATGTGAATGATGAACATGAGGTCAGACAGACTGAAACAGCATCCAGGAAACCAAACAGACCAGAAACGATAATCAGACAAGAAGACATCTTTACAGTCTCACCTGGAAGAGATGAACCAATCAGAACAGTGCTGACAAAGGGAGTGGCTGGCATTGGGAAAACAGTCCTAACACAGAAGTTCACTTTGGACTGGGCTGAAGACAAAGCCAACCAGGACATCAATTTCATGTTTCCATTCACTTTCAGAGAGTTGAATGTGCTGAAAAAGGAAAAGTTCAGCTTGGTGGAACTTGTTCATCACTTCTTTACTGAAACCAAAGAAGCAGGAATCTGCAGCTTTGAAGACTTCCAGGTTGTGTTCATCTTTGATGGTCTGGATGAGTGTCGACTTCCTCTGGACTTCCACAAAACTACAATTTTGACTGATGTTACAGAGTCCACCTCAGTGGATGTGCTGCTGATAAACCTCATCAGGGGGAAACTGCTTCCTTCTGCCCGCATCTGGATAACCACACGACCTGCAGCGGCCAATCAGATCCCTCCTTCATGTGTTGACATGGTGACAGAGGTAAGAGGGTTCACTAACCCACAGAAGGAGGAGTATTTCAGGAAGAGATTCAGAGATAAGAAGCAGGTAACCAAGATCTTCTCCCACATCAAGTCATCACGAAGCCTCCACATCATGTGCCACATCCCAGTTTTCTGCTGGATCACTGCTACAGTTCTGGAGGATGTGCTGAAAACCAGTGAGGAAGGTGAGTTGCCCAAGACCCTGACTGAGATGTACATCCACTTCCTGGTGCTTCAAACCAAAGTGAAGATGGTCAAGTATGATGGAGGAGCTGAGACAGATCCACACTGGAGTCTAGAGAGCAGGAAGATTATTGAATCTCTGGGAAAACTGGCTTTTGATCAGCTGCAGAAAGGAAATCTGATCTTCTATGAATCAGACCTGACAGAGTGTGGTATTGACATCAGAGCAGCCTCATTGTACTCAGGAGTGTTCACACAGATCTTTAAAGAAGAGAGAGGACTGTACCAGGACAAGGCGTTCTGCTTCATCCATCTGAGTGTTCAGGAGTTTCTGGCTGCTCTTCATGTCCATCTGACCTTCATCAACTCTGGAGTCAACCTGCTGGAAGATCAACAGGCAACATCTTATTCGCCTGAAGTGTTTACAGAAATACATGAACTAAAATATCTCTACCAGAGTGCTGTGGATAAGGCCTTGGAGAGTCCAAATGGACACCTGGACTTGTTCCTCCGCTTCCTCCTGGGTCTTTCACTGCAGACCAATCAGACTCTCCTACGAGGCTTGCTGACACAGACGGGAAGTAACTCACAGGACACAGCCCAGTACATCAAGAAGAATCTTTCTGCAGAGAAAAGCATTAATCTGTTCCATTGTCTGAATGAACTGAAGGATCGTTCTCTAGTGGAGGAGATCCAACAGTCCATAAGATATGGTAGTCTTTCTACAAATGAACTGTCTCCATCTCAGTGGTCAGCTGTGGTCTTCATCTTACTGTCATCAGAAGAAGATCTGGATGGATTTGACCTGAAAAAATACTCTTCTTCAGAGGAGGCTCTTCTGAGGCTGCTGCCAGTGGTCAAAGCCTCCAACAAAGCTCTGTGAGTACAAGACATCTACAAACCCATGTATAGAAATGTTTGTGCAGTATAAAGTAGAAATAAAAGAAAACCTAAACACAGAATTATTACAATAGTCATTGAAAATGGTACTAATATTAAAATCACTGTTTGAAAGGTTTTCATTTTGTATTTAATATCAGTAACGCATCAAGGCAAAAAACAAAAGAAGAAAAAAAAGACTGGGCAATCTAAAACCTAAAACGACTAATGTTCTTTTTATGCAGGGTATTAAAAGAGCATGACAAATAAACTGAAACTTTTTAAAATAAAAACGGGGAGGACAAATACACTGAACAAAAATATAAACGCAACACTTTTGTTTTTGCTCCCATTCCCCATGGGATGGACGTAGAGACCTAAAATTCATTCCAGATACACAATATAACCATCCCTCCCAAACAGTGGTCACAAATCAGTCCAAATGTGTGGTAGTGGACACATCTGCTATATTGAGATAATCCATCCCACCTCACAGGTGTGCCACATCAGGATGCTCTTCTGACATCATGAGTAGTGCACAGGTGTACCTCAGACTGCCCACAACAAAAGGCCACCCTGGAATGTGCAGTTTTTTGCGCTATTGGGGGTCTGGGGACCCAGAACCGGTCAGTATCTGGTGTGACCACCATTTGCCTCATGTAGTGCAACACATCGTCGCATGGAGTCTATCAGATTGTCAATTGTGGCCTGTGGAATGTTGGTCCACTCCACTTCAATGGCTGTGCGAGGTTGTTGGATATTCGTGGGAACTGGTACACGCTGTCGTATACGCCGGTCAAGCACATCCCGAACATGCTCAATGGGTGACATGTCCGGTGAGTATGCTGGCCATGCAAGAACTGGGACATTCTCAGCTGCCATCTGCCCTGAACAATGTGAACCATGATTCATCCGTGAAGCGCACACCTCTCCAACGTGCCAGACGCCATCGAATGTGAGCATTTGCCCACACAAGTCTGTTACGGCGACGAGCTGGAGTCAGGTCAAGACCCCAATGAGGACGTCTTGCAGTTGAGCGTCCCTGAGACGGTTTCTGACAGTTTGTGCAGAAATTGTTTGGTTGTGCAAACCAATTGTTCCAGCAGCTGTCTGGGTGGCTGGTCTCAGACGATCTTGGAGGTGAACCTGCTGGATGTGGAGGTCCTGGGCTGGTGTGGTTACACGAGGTCTGCGGTTGTGAGGCCGGTTGGATGTGCTGCCATATTCTCTGAAACGCCTGTGGAGACGGCTTATGGTTGAGAAATGAACATTCAATGCACGGGCGACAGATCTGGTTGACATTCCTGCTGTCAGCATGGCAATTGCACGCTCCCTCATTGCTTGTGGCATCTGTGGCATTTTGCTGTGAGACAAAACTGCACATTCCAGGGTGGCCTTTTGTTGTGGGCAGTCTGAGGTACACCTGTGCACTACTCATGATGTCAGAAGAGCATCCTGATGTGGCACACCTGTGAGGTGGGATGGATTATCTCAATATAGCAGATGTGCCCACTACCACACATTTGGACTGATTTGTGACCACTGTTTGGGAGGGATGGTTATATTGTGTATCTGGAATGAATTTTAGGTCTCTACGTCCATCCCATGGGGAATGGGAGCAAAAACAAAAGTGTTGCGTTTATATTTTTGTTCAGTGTAGTTCAATAATTTAAAAATCTTTCTCATTGCATAACTGCAGATAATTTGGAAATTTAATTGTTCACAGAATCCAGTGAAATGCAGGAAACAAGGATCATCTAAGCAAAAGAACCTTTTGTTAAAATAAATCATTGGAGGGTCTCACAGACACTTTAAAGAACATTGTCGTCTTCCATAAATGCAAATCAAAGTGTTCTATAAACATGTTCTTATGTTCAAAAATGATTTAAATTAAACTGAGATCCCCATAAATATGGTAAGATAAGATATGATGTAAAACAGATGGATAGATTGTTTACTGCTCAAGTTCCCTCAGTTTAAACAGGTGACATATTGCCTTTGTATACATTTCAATAAAAAGTCGGAGTTTAATTATTTGCAAATGACCCTTTTAACTTTACCTATGTTCCATGAAGAGGTTTGAACTGCATGTGTTATTCGTCCATTGAAAAACCCCTGGCAGTCAAGGTGCCATGCAAAGTGGCCTTACAGTTCAATGTCTTGTCCAAGACAGATCGAAGAAATATTGGATCAAACCACTAATCCTGTGATCAGTGGACATTCAATTCTACTATCTGAGCAATAGCCTTTTTTTTTTTTTTTTTTTTTTGGCTTTCATTCTTAAATCTTTCTCAGGCTCAGCTGTTGTAATCTCTCAGAAAGAAGCTGTAAAGCTTTGTCATCAGTTCTCCGCTCCCAGTCCTGTAGGCTGACTGAGCTAGACCTGAGTAACAACAAACTGCAGGATTTAGGAGCGAAGCAGCTGTGTACTGGGCTGGAAAGTCCACATTGCAAACTGAAAATTCTCAGGTCAGATTACAGCTAATTTTGGATCAATTAAAGCCTGTTTTCTGTTTATGTCACTTAATTTTTATTAATATTTACATTTTGTGTTAATATCGTCTAAACCAGGCTCTCAGGTTGTATGATCACAGCGGAAGGTTGTGTTGCTTTGGCCTCAGCTATGAGGGGCAACCCCTACCATCTGACAGAGTTGGACCTGAGCTACAACCATCTAGGAGACTTTGGAGTGAGGCTGCTATCGGCTAGACTGAGAGACCCGCTCTCCACACTTGAAACTCTCAGGTAATGAACACACAAAGTATTTTCCCTTGAGTGACAAATGTCCCCAGTGAATGAGTAGACTCATCAACATATTTTGCATCACACCACACTAGGAAGCACAGGCTGTGGAGGAGGAGAGGCCCCAATCTTCATTTCTAGCTTATTGAATTAACCATACATCTGGACAGTTATTTGGTAATTCCCCTTGGATTCTGTTTATCTCGATAAGCTCTTTTATCTAGCGCTTGTTGAAACCTTTCATTTTATAAAAGGCTTTGTGAAGTTTTCTGATACCCTCTGTTTTCTCGAGCTATGAAAAGTTTCCCAAATATAAAAGCTGTCCATTTATCTTTTTTTTTTAAAAATAAATTAAAAACTCAAAGCAATACTATATAAATGACTATATTAAATTAAACATTGTACAGTTCATGTTCAACATTTAATACGCGTTGAAAGTTGGATAGACAATCATTGTTTTTGCATTTTGTTCTCCAGGGTGGACCATAGTGGTGAACAGTGGTTAAAACCTGGTCTGAGGAAGTGTAAGTTTGACTAATGATGTGAAACTTTCTAATTAAATCCAAATCATTATCATTAAACTTTCTACAAATGACAGCATATCAGTAATTACAGAATAAAGCCATTAGGTGTGTAAGATAAAAACTGTGCCCTCTTGTAAACTTTTTATTTATTCTTGCCTTCAGATGTCTGTGATCTTGAACTGGACACAAACTCAATAAACATAAACCTTAAACTTTCTGAAGACAACAAGATGGTGACAGTTGTGGAGGAGGAGCAACCATATCCTGATCATCCAGACAGATTTGGTTGGTGGCAGCTGCTGTGTAGAAATGGTCTGACTGGTTGTTGTTACTGGGAGGTTGAATGGAAAGGAAGAGTTCACATATCTATTAGTTACAGAGGAATCAGAAGGAGAGGACACAGAACTGACTGCAGGTTTGGAGAGAATGATCGGTCATGGAGTCTGAGCTGCTCTGATACTGTTGGTTACTCCGTCTGGCACAATAACACAGTTACAACCATCTCCTTCTCCTCGCCCTCCTCATCCTCCATGTCTAACAGAGTAGCAGTGTACGTGGACTGTCCTGCTGGGACTCTGTCGTTCTACAGAGTCTCCTCTGACACTCTGATCCACCTCCACACAGTCAACACAACATTCACTGAACCTGTGTATCCTGGGTTTGGATTCTGGTCTTATGGTTCCACATTGTCTCTGTGTTCTTTGAAGAATGAAGAAGAAGAAAACCCTTTGGACATTTAGACACAATCTCAAAGTCTGTAATAGAAATGTCAAACGTTCAAATCATTGATTGTGATTTAATGCTGTTCTATCTTATAAGCAGAAGTAGCTGAACAAATGTTTTTACAGATTTGGTATCAGGACACCAAATATATAAAGCCGTGAAGGTTAATAGTTAAACTGAGTTTTTTAAATTTATTATTCTCCTTTTTTTTTGTGTCAAACACATTTGGTTTACCAAGAGGAGAGACATAGACTCTCTACAGGATCCTCTTGTTACTTTCTTAAATTTAGATATGTATTTATTTTATTGTATTACTCATAATATTATCTGTGTCGTTATGATAGGGCTGATGGGCTGAATCTTTTTAATGACTTCCTTCTGTAAATAAAAAAAGACAAAATGTTAAAACCCATTTAAAACACGACCGCTGACATGAACACAGTAGGAGTTTAGCCGAGGAAACAGGTTTGATGCATCATTATCATAAACCACCCTGTTGGCAAGTCTGATGGAACTTTTTTACACCTGCTCTTAAGTTAACCGCGTGCCTTCAGCAGGATGACCAGTGGGATAAAGGAGAACCACAGCTGCCCTTCTTTAATGGCTACTTTAGGCTGGTAGTGGATACCACTACTGGGAGGCAAGGTACCTTCAGTGTTTGCTTATTTGCAGAAGGATCACAACAGCACCCTTCTTGCAGGTTTCCTGTTTATCTGGGCTTGACACTGCCTGTAAGTACACTTGAGTGACCCAGTGAGGCAGGGTTTGTGTCTCCTCCCAGAATAAAACTGAGACTCTTTTACGGTACTCTCAGAGCACAACAGAGAATTGATAAGTTGATATCAATAAGTTCTTATCAATTCCCAACTGCAAATTCAGAGAGTTATAATCTGACACATAAAGACTTTTAGAGTTGATGTTTAATGACTTTAATGAGATCAAGGGTCATCATGTGACTGTTAGTGCAGCTCAGTTATCACACTTCCTTAAGACAGCGCCTGGAATTGAAGAGTATAAGAGCTAACACACTTAAAAACCTTGAAGTGTGTGAGTTACATGCTTATCCTCTCTGGTCAGTCTCATAGCTGGATGAATAATTTCACTTTCTCTCATTTCCACCATCCAAAGGTAAACCTAATCTCAAGTCATTTTAATGTGAGTGGGTGTTGCTGTTAAACAGCTCTTATAATAGTTGAGCTAGTAGAAAATATTGTGTTATCTTGTTGAGTTTTATTGTTATGTTCAGGTGGAATCTCTAAAATAGTTTTTGAACATTACAAAACCAAACGAGGAGTTGTCAAATCATTAAACCATTACAGATTTTCTCTTTTTGGTCTCTTTAGTGGTTTAGTTTGTGAATTAATTCTTTTTTGTCGTATTGCTCATCTAATTCTGCAGCACTTCCTCAGATGTTTCTTTGGGGTTCAGATTTCTTGGATTTAAAAATTCTACTTTGCTTCCACTGCAGTTAGACTCCTGTTTATGTCACATTTTAGTTTTTACAAGATGCAAACCTCTGTAGCTGTGGAGGTACCTGAGACCTTTTATGATCCAGCCTGCTGAGTACTTTGGTTTTGTGGCTATGGGGTTTTGTATGATTGCATTTGTGCTTTCGAGATTAAGGAGTTTAAAACAGCTCATACAATGAATCAGATTCAGTAAAAGGACTAGATATTACAATCCCTGATTGCTCATGTGACACATCGCGGACATCCTCTCAGTTCTGTACATATTATTTGTATTGCACTTCGGTTTTTTGCAAACAGGAGCTTTCTGTATAATATTGGTGACGCTGAGCACGTTTCCAAGGCTACCGTCTGTCGGGCAGTCAGGAATGTTACAGTTGCACTGAAATGTCTCCTGTACTCGTTTGTGGTGTTCCCCGGTCATAGACCTACAACATTTATCAAAGAGGGATGCCACAAAATTGCAGGTATCAGGATGAACGAAACTTAATTCATGATGTGGTGATATTTGAACTACTACTTAAATTTTACATTTATTCTCACGGTTCCCAGGCGTGATTGGCTGTATAGATGGCACTCACATTCCAATCATTGCTCCTTTAGTAAATGAAGGAGACTATGTGAACAGGAAGTCTTTCCACAGCATTAATGTACAGGTACATAGTTCCCTGTAGCATTTCAAACTAACAAATTATTTCATTATAGTAATGGATGCTAATTTGTGTTCTCTGCACTGTGAAGATCATATGTGATGCTGCCAACATTATCACAAATGTGGAAGCCAACTGCTCAGCCTCTGTGAGTGGTGGTGGTGGAGGACCCCCACCTGTTTTTCGGGCCTCCGCTTTTTTTCTGTTGGCTATAGCGGGTCACATTTGAGCATACAGAGTAAGCAAATATGTACTTGTAATGTGCTCAGATAATTTCAATAAGTGCTTACAGAAAGAAAATTCATGTAGAATCTAACTGCAATTGATTTACATAGGACAAACAGACCAAGCACTATGGCTCATAATACAATTACACCTTACCTGTTTGGACTATATTTTTATGTTTCATTTTTACTTGCTGCCAGGAACGTTTGGGGCCTGTTGGGTTGCACCTGCGCTCAAATCACATCACAAAATAAAATGTATAAAATAAAAAATAAAATAAAATAGAATAAAATAACGTGTTAAATGGGTGGAAATCCCTAGTTCAATGTTTAAATTAACACTCACGCATTGACTCTGTCAGCTATGTTTTGCCATGCATGCTCCCTTTCTTTTGCAGCTGAGGCTGTGTTACTTTTTTTCCGCGGAATTTGCATGTTATCGGCATATGCTGCCATCAGAATTTCGGCCTCAAGCGCTGTAAAATACATTGACCGCGCCTTCTTTCCCTCCGTCTCCATGGTGACTCGCTTAATCTGTGCTCCACTAATCAGGGCTTTATGTATCCTCGTGCGCGCGCTTAACTTGGGGTTAAAGCAACTCCGCGTTGACTGAACTAATTGTTATCAGCCTTTCTGAAACCGAATATTCCGAGTTGGACAGTTCGGGGTTACTCAACCCTGAGTATCGTTTTTCACTCTGAGTTTTCTAAACCGGCTTCCTGAAATAGGGCCCTGGTTATGCTGATGGAAACACCTAAAATCAGTTTGATTTTAGGTGTTTCCATTAGACTGGCAGTATGAAAAGGAAAAAAACAAAACGCTTGGACACTGCTAGCACAGGCGCCCACAGAAACGCAAAGCAGGAGATGAAGCATCGCTGAATAAGTTTCCAAACCAACTTCATTCTAAGCCAAAGACTAGAAAATATGGTGAAGCATATCTTCCCTTTGGTTTCACCTGCACAAGTGCCAAGGTAGGTCTCCCCTGCAGAATTGGTTTTCCCTTTGTCGGGAGCATGCGCTGGGCTGTTCAAATCACGGACAAACAGTATCCCACATTCTTGATTTTTAGTTCACAAACACTTGTTGTAATGACTAACTACTCCTGACATTTTGGAGATGTTAGCTCTGTATACAGTAAAGTTAATAATATCAGGTTGATCCTGCCAGGATTTGTCCCCCGGTTCAAATCACGGACTAACAGTATCCCACAGCTGTTTATGTTTTTAAACCCATTTTGCACAGAGAGGCATTTTTTGAAAAATGTATTGATAGCAATGTTGAATATTATTACACAGAAGAAAAAAAACAACTACATGTAAAATAATCACACCGTGAAGCTTCTGCCTTTGTAAATGGAGGGACAGTAACTGCGTGTAAAACCTGAAGACAGTCAGAATAACAGTAACAGTATTTCATCTCTATGTCCCATTCTGCAATTCATCTCATGTAAACAATAACGTGGCGCCCAGCCTGACGTGAAAAGAGGCACATTCCTTTGACGTTGCCAGACAAACTCTGTATTCCTCATCCGCAAAAAAAAGGTGTTTTAAAAATTCTCCGTTTTCAGTGATTCGAAACGCCGTTTACGTGTGGATGCGTTTTCAAAAATACCCATGTAGGTGCGGACGTAGCGTAAAAGAGTTAGTAGTTTATTTTATTACTAACTGTCATTTATTGGAGGTTACTTGTACTTGCTTAATTGTTTACTAAATGTTTGAGGTGTGAAATAAACCGCAATGGAGCAAAATATGGGTGTGTGTGGTTGGAGGATGTGTTAGTGCGTGTGCGTGGCTCCACATCAGCCACGCCGCTTTGCTAGCTAAAACACTGGTGTTGGATAATTTTGCCAGAAAAAAAAACAGAGGACGGCTGAAGCGGGGCAGCCAAAGAGTAAACTCTTAAAAGTAAGTACTGAATATTATGTCACTTATTTATGTGCAAATGCTTAATAACAAAGAACATTAAAACATTACTGTTGGCCACATGTCGGCAAAGTTATGTGACATTAGCAATGTTTGTACTAACTTGGCTTTAAAGCCTTTACTTTAAAATATACTCCGTTCAATAGTTGACTTTAATCTTAGAGAGAATGCCATGATTTTATGGATAATTAAAGTCAGCAATATATCCATAAACACAACAAGCAGAAAGTCAGTGATGCTGCTCGGTTTGCAGTCCTGAATATCACGGCACAAGCAGGATCCACTGCACTGTTAATGTTCGCTATGTTATATTGCTGCCTCTGTTCGGTGGTGTCGAGCCAAAAGGATTTTAACGTGTGTTTGAAAGAGCTGACGGTTCACTCGTTAAGCTGAAAGAAAGATGCTTTAATCACAGGAGTCACACATGTGTCCACTGTACCATCTGGGAACTCTTCTTGTTTAGCACTTGTAATAACACAAACACTAAATCCTCCTTCTCTTGTGCTGTTTTGTAGCAGTGTATACACCTGAGACTGTCACCTCTCTGTCTGTCCTGCACTCTCTCTCTGTTTCTTTCTCTCTGATTGTGGAATAAAAGTCTGAACATGTATTTATAAGTTACACTTGTGTTTGAATTCTGCAGCTTATCACAGATTTGATTTCCATGTGTGACAACTGCAAGTGTCCAGAGTGAGGACAGACTGAGGGACCCACTGCTGCTCATCATCTGTGAGGCTTTGCACCCCTGATGAT